TCTGTTGTAAGTAATGCTGAGAAACAGGACGCAAAGGAGGTGGTAAGGTAGGTGACACAGGATGGTCAAGCACAGGAGTAGACATAGGGACTAGAACTGGGAGAGGAATAGATTGCTGACTCACATACCCAAAACACTCCCCCTGAGAAGGATTCTTTGAAAAGAAGTATGTGGATTCAAAAATAGTGACATCCATTATAACATACCGGCTCCCAGAGACTGGATCATAGCAACATTACCCTTTTTGATTTTTTGACACACTTCTTTGCCTTGGGATCAAGCTTCGAGCGGTGAGGACCAAGGATATCTGCAAAGTAGACACACCCAAACACCCTGAGAGGAATATGAAACATCTCCCCCTTAGGAAAAAGGAGACCGAATGGGGTGTTGAATCCAAGTATACGAGAGGGCACCCTGTTAATCAGATATACTGCTGTGAGAACTGCATCACCCCAAAACCGAACTGGAACTGTAGATGTGCTCATCATGCTTCTTTCAATCTCAACAATGTGTCTGTTCTTCCTTTCTGCAACACCATTCTGCTGTGGACTGTAGAGACAACTGCTCTGACGGACAACACCATATTCTAACAGATATGAGGCAAGGTGTTTTTCAAAATATTCCCTGGCATTGTCTGATCTGAACACCTTTATTCTTGTTCCAAACTGTGTTAGCACCATCTGATGAAATTGCCTCACCAAGGGTGGTACTTCATCACGGGATCTCATCAGGTAAATTCAAGAGTATCGTGAGAAATCATCCACAAATAAGAGAAAATATTGATAGCCTCCCATAAAAGGAACATGGTAAGGTCCCCACACATTCGAATGAATAACATCGAAAGAAGAACACCTTTTATTACTAGGTTTAAATGAATGTCTACAATTTTTTCCAAGTTGACAACCTTCACACTCCAGACTTGACAAACTAACAGACTCAAGAAGTTTTGGAAACAAAAGACTCAAAGAAGAAAAAGGTAAATGGCCCAAACGATTATGCCAAAGCATAATTTGACCCACAGACCCTGACTCACTATCCCTGCTAACATGATGACTCTGATGAGGAGGAACATCTAGGAGGTAGATCCCATTCACTTCATGACCACTCCCAATCGTCCTCTTTGAATCCAGATCTTGCAAAATACAATGACCAGGAGAAAAAATTACTGAGCAGTTCAGGTTCTTAATCGAACTACTAACAGATAACAAATTAGTGCTCAATCTAGGAACATGAAGGACTGAGGGTAGAGAAATAGAATCACTAATCTTGACAGATCCATTTCCAATAATAGGAACATGGGATCCATCAGTTGTGGAGATCCTATCTCTGCCAGAATAGAGCTAGTAAGAAGAAAAAATAGTAGAGCTCCAGAATCTATAATCCAAGGAGGTCCCTCCTTACCTGAAGTAGAAACATAATTTGCAGTGACGTGTGGACTACCTGTGTGAGCAAAGGCAGTAGAGTGGACTCCACCAATGCCACCTGTACCTTGTTGTCCGCTTGCTGCTGAATTGGAACTAGCTATATCCCGTTGGTTCAAAAGTTGCCCATACCTCTCAAATTCGGCCCATACTGCATTAGCTGCAACAGACTCAAGAGCAGCTGTAGTAGGAGGGGCCGGAATGTCACCAGTAACTTCCATGTGTGCATTTCCCTTCTTATTTTTCAGTATAGTCGGCACAAGATGTGGGTGAAGCTTCCAGCAAGTATCTCTTTTGTGTTTAGGCTTCTTATAGTAGTCACAGATCAAATCTCTTTTATCTTCCTTCTTGATTTCACTGCCACCCCGATCTCCACTTTGTTTAGGTTTCACAATACTCACCATGGCAGACTAATCAGAAACAGGATTTTTCATCATCACATCTCTCCTACTCTCCTCCCATGACACAA